GCTGGGAGGCCGGGGCGAAGGCGGGCCGCAGGCTGCCTTCCTGCTTGAGCTCCTCCTGGATCCGCCGCAGCATGTTGTTGATTAGGACGGTCTTCTGCAGGCTGGGCTCGGTGAGGGGCCTCTGGTTGTAGAGCTTCATAAGGGAAATGTTGAAGATAGTCTGGCGCTGTAAGGTGTAAGACACCTTGGACGGACCGTCGGAGGGAGACAGGATTTTGCCTTCCAGCCCATCTTCATGCTCATCAAACTTCCGTTTTCCTCCTTTACCCAACATATATCTGGCAGAGGAGAAAGGAAGGAAACGGAGTTACTCACAGAAGAACTCACTGCGGCCATTAGGAAGACGCTGATGCAGAGGTCAGCACGCGGACTTCTGCGAGCCCCTGGCCCAGGCTTTGCTGGAACACACGGGTTAACCGGGGGAAGACCTGAGAGGCAGAGAACTGGAAGATCTACTTCTGTATGCCCGTGGAGCACTGTTTTTCACTACACAGTCTGGTGAATGTATTTCTTGGGAAATGTGTACGACCCAGACAAGTTAAACGTTACCATGGAAACGGTGATTTTTACTTTCTCAGCTCCTGGGCTTGCCTAACATTACCATGCAGGTTCAATTTCCCTCCCCCAAAGAGATTTATTTTTAAAGCCCAAGAAAACACTTACAGTGCTATGACCTGGACAGATAAAGGTGTCAGAGGTTACAGCCTGACCACATCTTGAACGATTAAAAGAACCAACTTGGAGGGGAACATGCACAATTTTGGTAGCACTGTGTGTGCTTTCAAAACGCCTTTTCCTTCCTCATTATGCACAGAGCCCTTCTGTCTGTCTGGTGACACGTGGTGAAGCGCTTGGCCTGTGTTAAATGACCGCAGTGATTAGCTGCCACCGCTTTTCAGTCTAGAATCAAGTGGAAGAATGTGGATTTCCTTGCCCACGTTTTTCCATGGCTCAATGTCACTGCATACAGTTATGGCTGAATGCAAGTGGACCAATTGAAAGTAATGTGCTCTGATTATAAGCATTGCTGTTTGGATACCCGAGACATTTCATAACAAAATACTTACTGTGAGTCCAGAGATACATATATATATATGTATTTCAAAGAATCAGCACTCTCATAGCTCAGACCTTGAGCATTCGTGAGTGGGTGGGACTTTAGCTCCTGCCCCGCCTTGCCTGTCGCTCACAGCCTAGGCTGAGGCGCCTCCTCTGCTGCCAGAGACACCTTCAGCTGGCTGCACCTTCCTCTCAGAACTTCGACCGTCTCAACACAACAAGCCAAGTCCACTGGCCTTTGCCCCGTGGACCTTAACTTCTGACTATTTAATCGAGAATGCTGTCCTTCTGTCATCCAGACCAGGAGACACGGCTCTATGCCACGCCCGTGCTTGCTCTCTCACCCTCTACACACGGACCCACGGACACACGGACACGCGGAAATGCTCTCAAGGCCACTCACTCTGATATCTTCATGTACGAGCACGTGCTTTGTATTTATTCAATTTTTCTTCTGACAGTGACTTGCCTTTCACTGAATTGTTTCAGCTGATTTTGACGGCACCTCATTCAATCCTTCACTAACTCATTCCGCATCTGTGCTGTCTTGGGCTCTCGGCCAGGCAGTGGGTCCCTCAGGGGAATAAAGCCTGGTCTTCAAGGGGCTGAGTAATTTCTCCTACACCTCCTTATCATTTTGGACTGTGAGTCTCATCCTAAAGGGACACAGCTAACCACAATGAAACTTCAGAAATTCCTTCCAACACTTCACGTTGAAGAAGGCCACGCTGCCCCTGGAGGCGGACAGATAGGCAGGTGGTCACCGAGCCTGGCTCACAGGTCCCACTGGAGGTGCCGACCTCCATGTGCCTCAGTCGCAGGGAGAGAAAGACGAAGACAGCTGCAACGCATCAATGTCAGAATCAGCTCGAGAATTTGTTAATGCTCATAAAAATGTGGAGCTGCTTGCATGAAACACTTTCCCGCATTTTATAAACATTAAGAAAATGTCTGTCAATCACTAGAACCAAAGACCAGTCTCATAATGAATTGTTCCCTAAGGCGAGGGAGGTATGATAGTGACTACTTGCTTATCTAAGACCTCACGTGACAAACATTTCCTACTCTGTAGTGCTGAAAGTCTCATTTGTATATATACTTTGCATAGAACATTTCCTATCTGAAGTATCTGTGCCCATTTAAACTTCAGTGTGAATCCGAGAGGAAGTGATTTCGTTTCACGTTACAAAACACTTTCTACTTTATGCATTTAGAAGTGTGACCGGACTGCTGTGTTTTGAAACAGATAACTGGATTCACAATTATACTGTTTGTATTTGCTTACAATTTAAGCATCTAAATACTTCCAGAGAAATTCCGCTTTTGCCAAAGAGCTCTAAGTGCATTTAGTTCTCATATAAAGCTGTTAGATGATCTATGTTATATATTATAAAGTGAATAGACCCAAGACATTTAAAAATGTGTGACAGAGTAGACAAATGCATACATGCAACAGCAAACGGATCGGCCTCTCTGACTCCATCTTGGTCAAGCCTGCTTCGTTCCCATGGCCTTCAGGCCAATGGCATCTGTTTACTTTTGCATACAGACATGCTAATCATTAGAGGAATCTGCTTGTCCCTTGAATTTTAAAAAAACACCCCCTTACCAGAAGGTGCCTCTCCCAAAGAGATAAGGGGAATATATACGGTTTATCAAAGATTTGCAGGAACCTCGAGGCTGGACTCACATCAACTAGGATCAACAGGGTCAACAATCTTCCTTAGACCCTTGCTGGCACCCGTACGTCTTTGGTAGTCAATCACGTCTTGCCCCTCCCATTTCCACTTCCCTTGACATAAAAGAAGCCTGAACTCTGTACCTTCTTAAGATGGATTTGAGTCACCAAAAGGTCTCCCATTTTTCTTGGTTGGTCCCTTTTCAATCAATATACTTTTTTTTTTTTTTTAACTCCAAACTCTGATGTTTTGAGTTTTGGCCTTTTGAAGCACTAGGCACACATATGTTAGACCCGTAGCATACACAAATACTCTAAAACAGTGCTTCTCAAAGTGTGGTCCATAGATGATCTGTAAACTGTTACTGGTCCATGATGAGGTAAGCAGAGATACTATATGATTGAGAAACTTTTATAGTAAACTTAAGAGTAACTGTATGTCTGTAGATCTAATAAAAAATGAGGATTCTGTTTTTACATCTTTGTACTTTTCATTTCATTTCTCTAGCAATTATTTTCCTCATGTTCTACTAAAATATCAGTCTATGAAGAAGGAAGAAATCAAACAGAATGGTTCTTTATCACAGCAGCTTTTAGAAACACTGTCCTAAAATGTAAACCAAATGCACAACGAAAAGCAAACTAGTGAGCTCACTGCCACTTTGAATTTTACTGGCTTTCTTGAGCAAAGGTAGGTAAGACACTACAGGCTTGTCCTTTTCTTTTAGTCCTTGATATAGAACTGTTTCTGATAAAGATTTGTTTCTGAAATAAATAACAGGATTTTTTCCAATAACTCACATTTCTCTAGACATAATCACTGAATCCTTGGGACTCAAATACTGACAAAGCGTTCAGTCCTGTAGGCATTTAGCAGAATTCCCAGAGCTGAAGAGAGGCTTTCCGAGGGATTTCCATGTGAGAAGCACCTCATTTCCAATGAGAATGATCCAGCTGGTCATCGCTGCGGGATGACCCCAGTGATTTAGGAAAAGCGCATCAGAAACCTGTAATACTGTCTGGATGGGGAAGGAGGAGGGCCCGTGTAGGCAAACTCTGTGAGCAGGAATAGACAGAAAAAAATCGAATCTTGGATGCTTTTCAAATGAGTAAATAAGGACCCATGACAGAGTATGTCTCAAAGCAGGTCTGCCTTCATTTCTCTGTTTCTCTTTATGAGGCAAGACTGGCTCCACACACCCAGTAAGATTGCAAAAGGCACACAATCGTGATGTGTGACCCTACTTCCACCTACATTTTTATCGAAAGGAATAAAATGCAACATCACAGAACCTAGCCCACATTTTTACTTAAAAATCAATTCTACAAAGTTAAAGCTTATCCAAAGTTTGCTTAATCCTGTTCAGAATCAAGTCTTCCCACGCAGCCTCCTAGAAGTGGGAGGACGTGGTGTATCACCGACCACCTCCTTGGAGCAGGACACCATCCAAACAAGAAAATACAAGCCTCTCAAGAACCCGAGGGGAGGGCGAGAGGCCAACGAACAGCATCTCAGGGCCTGGGCTCAGGCTGGCCCAAGCCAGAGCCTCCAGCACTGCGCTGCACGAAACAACAGCAGCTCAGGGAGCAGGCTATCCGGGAGGCACCTGAGCTTTTCGAAGGCCTCGCCGGGCTTCGCCCAGAAGACAGGCAGTAGCTGGGGCTCATTAAGGGCTTCCAGGCACCGGGAAGGGGGTTCCTGTCTGGAAGGCCCAGAGCTCACCCAGAAGAGGCGCTTGTGACCAGCCGGGTTTCTGGGCCACCCTGAGGGGTGACACCCCACTTTGTCTCCTCCCTCAGCTTCAAAGACCCAAAAGGGAATCTGGGCTTCAGGGCTTCTTAGAGACCCCCAAAGAGGAGGGTGGGGGTGGGGGCGGCCTCCCTGTGCGGCCCATGCAAAGGGCCCTGAGACGAACCACAGGCACTCTTCCTTAGAACAGTCAGTCAGTGGCTCTTCAGGAAAGGTTTGAGATAAGACGCCTTCCCTTCTCCAATACATTTGTTAGAACAAACTCCTGGCTTTCTAATTTTCTTATCATAATTGTTAGCAACTATTAACTACAGCAAAGTTTTGAAAATAAAGAACAAAACTCACAGGAAGCAATATAAATGAAAACTTCTCTTTCAGTTTTCCACAAAGTTTAATATGGAATAAAACTCCAAATACACCGAGCCTGGCTTCCGGTTGTGCAGCTTTCATTCAGAAGGACCGGGCTGCCCTCAAAAGCGACAGTCCCCTTGGGCACATGATCAAGAGCAATAAATGTCACTAGAAGAATCCTCCGAAGAAGAGAGGATGGAGAAATAGGCGATGGCGTTACCTGATACTTGGGGGTTTGCATTTCAAGATTTTGAGTGACGCTCACAGTCAGGAGCCTGAGAGATTATTATGGACGGGAGTATCCGGAGAGACTGCTGGAGAAAGGCCTGGAGATTTGTATTTGAGGTGGGATGGTCTCTTAATGTCTATTTCCCACCCCAACCAGTAACCCCCAGGAGGGCGCAGCCTGCCTGTTCTGTTCACCTCCTCAGGACAGGGTA